TGAAGCGAATTTTGAGGAGTTCATGAAACTGGCGCAAACCTGGAGCCTAATACAGTCGCCGCAGTTTATCAAACTGTATGGCCTTACCCTATCCGTGCCATACACAATGGTCATGGAGTACTCGAAATACGGGCCGTTAAATAAATTTCTGCAGGTGCATCGAAACATTAGCATGTACTGTTTGCTGGACGTGATGCATGGCCTGGTGCGTGGCATGCATTATCTGGAGGATAATAAGATAATACACAACTACATACGCTGCTCCAATTTGTACGTTACCAAATACGACCCCGAGAAGTACGTGCTCGATGCCAAAATTAGCGATCCCGGCTATCCGCGTCCCTACAAGCAATCCGAGTGAGTTGCGCGTGCATAATACGTCAATTATCGTGCCCCGACTTATCGCTTATTGTTTTGATCTTCAGTTCACCCTGGATACCGATCAAGTACTACAACAATCTGGAGGGAGCCAAGCAGGATTCTAGCACACAGCTCTGGGCATTTGCGACCACTATTTATGAGATCTTCTCGCGCGGCCTGCTGGCGCTGGATCAATTGAAACAGCGCGAACTCATACGCAATCGAACCATTGATGGCGGCATATTGAAGCCGCTCAACCAACGCCTCTGCCCAGTTGAAATGTACAACACAATTATGGATGGCTGGAGCGATGATCCGGACAAGCGTTTCAGTCATCACGATATTTTTACGCGACTGACTACCATTAAAACACGCTTACAACGAAATTACGATGAGCCTGATACGGAAATGGAGTCATGTAAGTGAAGCATTGCTTTTATACCCTGTGCCGATTTAAAATCAAGGGTAAACGGATTTGTAAATTTGTGCTATTGGCAGAAGGCGATATATCTGCGACTCCACGTGTTTATAGATCGATTGCCGAGACGATGTAGCTATAGTTATCTGTCTGTTGAGTCTCTGGTTTAAAATATCCAAATTAAACCTTGCATAGATCCCTCTGCTTACTGCTGGCAGTACGTATGTCAAATATCGGACGCCATATCATATAGCTGCTATAAGAAGTTTTTGGTGGTTAACACAATTTACTTTTATGTTGTTTAGGATGTCTAAAGCAAACGTTAATGTGCTCCAAGTATATGAGCAAAATCTTAGCAGCCTTGGAGAAACGCTCGGTCGAAAAATTCCTGTTTATCGGGTTATCTTGTTATCTTGAGCAAAATTACCAAATGCCAGCTTAATTGGTGCTTTCAACAATCCGATTACTATATCATTGAGTCTATTGAGCCAAAGTCAGCACTCTGAGCTCGAAACCCCGATTAGATGGAAGACAGCAAAGCTGTACCAATCACTTAGAACAATTGATAGTAATCGTAAAGTAGGGCCATTATAGAAATCGGTTTTATATATCTACAATGATATATAATCTACGAATCTACCTATATTGTCATCTATTCTGTTTTCTCAATACTTTGATGTTTTGTCTCGATATCTTGATAACATATCATGTAGGAATCCTCAATCCGACATTGCGTTATACAAAAAATGCTGTCAATTGCCTGCCAGAGGGTATTGCATATTTGGCCCTCCGAAACTAAACGTTTTTGTATATCCTTATTGAGGGTATTATAAGTTTGTCATGAAATGTGCCAGCATCAACAGCCGAGTCCATATAGCCATGTCCGTCTGCTTCTCTGCGAACTAGTCTCTCAGTTTAAAGCCTATCGTCTTTACACGTTGCATAAGTCTGTCTTGATGTCCAACCTGCAACCTGCCGTATCGGACCTCTATATCATATAGCTTTCATAGGAATTATCGGTCGAAAAGTTGGTTCTGATATGGAAACCTTTTAATACCCTTGCAGAGGGTATTATAATTTTGTCTCGAAATGTCTTAAAGCATAGTGGGAGACATCTCCGACCCCATAAAGTATATATATTCTTGGTCAGTATCAACAGCCGAGACGATATAGCCATGTCCGTCTGTCTGCTTCTATGCGAACTAGTCTCTCAGTTTTAAAGCTATCGTCATGGAGATTTGCAGAAGTGCCTCTTTCTGTTGCTCGCAGTACATGTGTCGGCACCGGCTGGATCGGACGAAAATTAATTTGTTGTATGAAAAACATTTTTAAGTTTCAATATGTTCCCTACATTTATGCAAAATCTTATTTACATCGGACTACTATATCATATAGCTTCTATAGGAACGATCGGTCGAAAATAAGGCTGCTGTATAAAAAACTTTTTGGTTTTTCAGAATATTTTGACCAAACTCGACATTTATAAGTTTCACTATGTTCCCTACATTTACGCAAAATCTTATCTACATCAGACTACTATATCATATAGCTTCTAAAGGAACGATCGGTTGAAAATAAGGTTGTTGTATGGAAAACTTTTTTGTTTTTCAAGATATCTTGACCAAACTCGCCATTTATAGGTTTCACTATGCTCCCTACATTTATTCAAAATCATTTTCACTATGCTCCCTACATTTATTCAAAATCTTATTTTTACCGGACTACAATATCATATAGCTTCTATAGGAACGATCGGTTGAAAATAAGGTTGTTGTATGAAAAACTTTTTGTTTTTCAAGATATCTTAATCATACTCAGCATTAACTATATTCCCTGTGCATCTTAGATACGGGCAAAGCACTATGAGCATTATGAAAAGGTTGGGCCTGCAAGGATATTAAATCTTCGGCGTGCCGAAGATAGTCCTTTTTTCTCGTTTTATATTAAGATAACTGAACCAAACTCGGAATTTATGAGTTCCATTATGTTTCTCATATATATGAAAATCGTATCAACATCGGAGCACTATATCATATAGCTGCTATAGAAAAGATCTGGGAATAGCAGGCTCTTATATGGCATTATTCTTACATAGCTGTAAAAGGGAAATGTCTAAACGGATATTAAATCTTCGGCATGCCGAAGATATCCTTACTATGTCGTTTTATTAATATGTTTTACCTATGTTTGGCCCTCAGTCGAGTACTCCGATGACCATATGCACCGCAACGACGATGAAAATGACATCAGCAGCGAAGCGCACGCATCTTTTAATGGCCATGGCCTGCCAAATGGCCAACACCATTCGCCGGACACGGAGAGCTTCGCTATGTGCAATGGCGCCGTCGGCCTGAGCAGTGAATTCTTTGCAAATTCACAAGATTTACCGCTGGTGATGCAATTGTACGACTGCAAGGTTATATATCGTGAGAAGCACAAGATTGGCCAGGGTCATTATGGCACCGTATATAGGGGTGTACTCGAATATCATGATAAGGACCGCCCCAAAGAGCAGGTGGCCATTAAGAAACTTAAAACAGTGCAGGTAACCAATGATTTTCTGCGCGAGATCGACATCATGCGCAAGCTGGATCATCCCAATGTGGTCAAGTTCAAGTATTGGGCCGAGAAATCGCTGAGCATCATCATGGAGTACTTTGAATTTGGCTCGTTTATTGTCTACCTAAGTTCACGCAAGCCAAGTCTCACAAATGCCCGCCTATTGGCCTTTGCCCTGGACATTGCCCATGTAAGTATCTAACTGTCTATTCAGATGTATAATTTTTGTGACTTTTCAATTCTTGCTTGCTGCAGGGCATGGACTATTTATCTGGCAAGGGTCTCATACATCGCGACCTGGCAGCCCGCAACATTCTAGTCGATCGTTCGTGTGTAAAAATCTCAGACTTTGGCCTTGCCCAGTTTGCCAATGCCGATGGCTACTACTATGGCATCAGTCAGCGTGATATACCCATTAAATGGTCCGTATACAAAAAACGTTGGCATTATCGAATTAGCAATTATCTTAATATCTTGAATATTGCAGGTATTCGCCCGAGGCCATTGAAACTCTTAAATTCTCATCGTATTCAGATGTCTGGAGCTATGGCGTAACGCTCTTTGAAATGTTTTCACGTGGCGAAATACCAAATCTGGTGCCTGGGCAAGATTTAACTCAGGATCAGTTCCTCAATCGCCTGCGCCAAGGCGAACGGTATGTCAATTCTGCAATGCCTGTCAAAGACTTACGACTCATTCCACTAATTTTTCACATTTGTTTTGCCAGATTACCAAAGCCGGAGCTATGTTCGGATTTTGTGTACAACGAGCTGATGCGTCCCTGTTGGCATGAAACGCCCAAATCTCGACCATCATTTCAACAAATTATACAAATCATAACTAGCGAAATTGGCGATAATGTTGGATCTGCAACGGGCAGTCAGCAGCAGCTGCAACAACAACAGCAGCAGCAGCAGCAACAACCACTCAATATGGGCTCATCGTTAGAGGACGAATGACATGAATCACAGCCAGAAGCGATAGCAACATTTACGAGGGATTAACGATCACCTAAACATATAAGGAAGAAGAACCCCAAGTGCAAAAATCGTTTTAAAATTCTTCTTGGCGGTTATAGATGACAGCAGCATTAAAATTGCATTGTTACTGTTTTATCATTTTAAGTTGTTATTATTTTTATCTTAACTACTTACACACTCACATACATGCATACATACATACATACATACACACACACAAGCACACGTTTTTAAAACGTTGGACGCATGTGCTTTACAACAACACAGTTTCGATTGAAACTAAGCTATATATATATTTATATATATATAAATATAAAAATTTATATATATTAATACATACATACTGTACTTTATCTTTACCTCTGATCCTAAACTAAACCTCTGCCTAAATAAAATTCTAAACATTTTCCTTTCTGCTACGCCCGAGTAGCATTCAAATTGTCTTCGAAATTCTCATTTTAGTTTGTTAAAACTTTTAGACAACATTGTTAAAAATTTGCTTAGCTTGATAATTTTAATAATGTACAAAAGTGAATACATGATGCATTTTGCCCATGTGCAGCACATCGACCACTTATATATGTTCAATCCTAATCAAGCGAATAAATAAAACGTATTTTATGTAAAATGTACTCAAAATATATGTGCACATATAGATAATGTATCTGTATAATATGTAAAAATCAATTTGACAACATTTTAATGCGGGTCAATTATACTTTATACATATATACGCCATTTTAAATCAATAAAAACGAATTGATAAACTAATTGAATGCGCTTCTTGTTGTACTCGTGCTTATAAGGGGACAAACGCGGGTAAAGCCCGGCTTTGCCTGGGCAAAGTTTGTTTCTTCAAATTATACACATCACTCTTCCATTCAATAGGCAGTCAATCAGTCAGGATAAACATTTTTACATATATATGTAAATATACACATATATATGTAAATATGTACTTACCACAAATTTGACATACACCCGCACGATTACTTGATCGCCAACTATTAGTAGAAGGAAGACAGACTTTTATGTGTACTCATCCCTGAAAGAAGAAAAGCAGAGCGTAAATAAGAGTATGAACAGGAAAAAGAAAGAGAAAAAAAATGAAAGAGAGAGAGGGATGTATGGATTGCATAGGTAGTTTTTGAATATGAGCATAGATAAAGTTTCTTAGCTTGGACACCAAACTCCTTCAATAACGAAAATCATTTTTGAATCTATGATAACGTTTTTTGAAAAGACTTAAAGTATAGCGGCTTCTTAATCCGTTTTTCAGGTTGATTATACGAGCTTTCGACTTGAGAAATGGAGGAAAATTGCATAAAAGTTAATTAGTTTTTCTTAACTTTAAGCTTTAAAATTAGAATCAGTTAAGATTTGCGAAAGTGAATATTTGAATATTATACATTCATGCTGACTGCCGACATATAAAGAAAAAATATAGATCAGCCTGCAGCCATCCCTCTCTATGATGCGGACTCTCTCTCCTTGAAGAAGAATAAGTTTGCACACATATAATAATACAAACATACATTCATACATGAATACGTATATAGATGCATACATACATACATATAAAAAATAAATAATAAAATTGACATAAAAATGAATGCAAAGCGGGACCTATATGAATTCTTGAGAATCGAGTAGGAGGGCACACTATTTAATGCGTTATTTTTGAATTTACAACGCATCGGGAACTTAACTTTGTTTGCATTTGCCATAAAAGAACATACACATACATTGAGATTTGCGTACACATACTTACATACACATGTATACACATACATATACATGCATACATACTTAGTACATTCTTGCGACAATACACTAATTAATACATATATACATTAATGTACCTTAATGTATACATACATACATAGTCATGCTTTCATAGACATACACACATACATATGTATACAGAAAAAAAGGAGTTGCGAATTCCTTTGGCATTATAAAATGTTCTGTTTCGTACATATAGAAAAAAAAAAATAAAGTAAAATAAACATGATCGCTTTTTTAAGAGTACATACTATATAATATTTAGATCGAAAATGTTGATGACAATTTTTACGACTGCAATGATTTTGTTCGTACAGTTTACATAAAAACGAAAGAGATACAATCAAAGAAAAGAGACGGATATAACAAACATTGCAGCTAAGTCTATACAATACAAAGTCTATACATGAAAGATCCATACATTTCAGAATTCATGATTATAATTGACATGATGAATTGTTATGATTTTTCTTTTCTTAAAGTTAACGCCTGTTTGATGATATGACTTCTTTTTGAATTCATAAAAATAAAACTTAAAATACACGTACCAAGTTTGTACTACAAAAACAAATGAATTTATGGTTTGAACATCAAGTGTATTAATGGAAATTATGAATGGATTACTACATTTTTAAAAGTACTTAATTATAAAATGCATACATTATATGCACAATAACAATGCCTTATAACTAGTGAGAAATTCTACAACATTCTATTCATTTACACATACTACTGTTTGTTTTGTTTTTTTTTTTTTTTTTTGCTATATATATATATACATACATATCTACAAATATGCTGGTCTTTGAAGAAGAAGAGCACTTGTCTGCTAGGAGCCTTCAGTTTTTTTCTTTTTCAGCGTCTCCATAACGCCGGCAAAATTGGCCGTCTTTTTTTTGGCCGACTTCGGCGTCGATGTTTGGCTTCGTACGCGCATTTGAGTGGGTGCAACTTCGTCGCTGAAATCAAAATCGTTTGCCTTTTGCGGTCTGCAATGGGTGGAAAAGAAAAGTCGAATGTGCACTAGTGCATATATTGTATATATGCATATTGTCTTACTCTTGCTCAACAGTTTCGGTGGCAGCTTCCAGCTCCTTGTTGCTGCCGCCCACGCTGGCGTCTGGAGAGGGCGCTCGACGGCCAGGAAATTGCCATTGAAGTTCTGGTATATTGCCGGCTTCAAGCATTAAATAGTAGCTTTCCAATTCCTCAGCATTGGCTGAAAATTTATCAGACGCTGTTGCAGTCTCCACCTCTGCTGCCATGTTTTTCTGTTTTGCGTTGCAAACTTCTGTGTGCCATATGCATCAGGCGATTCGATACTTGTCAATTTATCGATTGATCTGGCTTGCCCAGTGTTGCAAAGCATCAGAGCGGCGGGCAATTCAAAATCAATACAATCTATATTAATTGAGCTAGTCAGCTATCTGTGCTTTCTGCTTTTTGGCCTTTATCGCGAAATTTCGTTGGTAACAACAAAATGTGTAGTGATAAAGTCAAAGAGCAATTAATCATATGCTTTGAGAATTAACTTTTTGCTTATACATTTTAAAGACAACTAGCTTTAAAGCATTAAGCAATGAATTTTATTTTCAAATTTTTGGCTAAGTTTTGAATGTCGCACACAATAAATGCAGCTAATTGGAGAAATTTTTGTATTTCGTGACACGAGCACGCAGTGTGTAAGAAATTTCGTGCGTGTCCGTGTTAAGCGCATCAGCACGACATTTATGAATATGGGAAAAATCAATTTACAAAATCAAATGAGATATAATTACCTATTAAAATATTAAAAAAATTGATTCATATAATTATTTATTTAAAAAAATTTATAAAATTAAAAAAAAAACAAATAAAACGCATTGATTCATTGATATGATAAGAATTTTTTTTTAAATTTTGTCAATCCTGGATGGCCTATCTCTAGATCTCACCTAGATCTAACCTAAACAATGTTCTATGCCGTATATTATATCAGACTCATAGTCTGGCCTATCTCTAGAACCAGGCTATGAGTCTGATATGATATACGGCATAGAACATGGTTTAGGTTAGATCTATAAATAGCCATGGGTCGTGCTGTTCTGTAAAACTCCGTTTTGTGCGACTTCCGTGCGGGTCCATGCAAGGCTCACCAACGCGAGGAGTATGATTTATCCAGTCGATACCTTAAAATCTTAAACACGAGTCCTCCGTGTTCGTGTTGGGCCGGGCCGTAATAGCCCAGTTCGTGGCCATCTCTAGTCAGAAATAATGATATAAGAAGCTTAGATATACCTGGATTTATGCTTAGATTAACCTGGATTTACTCATGCCTGTATATAGAGGGCTTTTATATGACTGAATACAAGCATTGACAACAAAATATTTGTTATATATTTTATTTTTTGATTACTAAATTCTTAGAACTTTATTCAAAATTATCATCTCATTCTTATACTCATTTTAACTGGCTTACATCCATCCATCATGCAACGTTCTCATCGAGCTTGCGGGCCGTGTGAGCTGGTGAGCTGGTCACAGAGCAGACAGCAGACAGCAGCCACAAACGCGATTCGAGCTAATTTTAGTAGACACTGTGTCCATTAGATCCATCTGCATCGTTATCAGCATGATCAACTTATAAATATACATGTTATATTGTTTGTATTTTTGTTTTGTTTGTTGTATACTCGTATATGTATAAAAAGAATAATTATATTAATTAATTAATTAATAATAAACACACAATTTCATTGCAAAAAATTTCTACAATACGTAATTAAATACGGATACGTCCTGATCGTTGGTATTGCCACCGCCTCCTCCACCGCCGCCGCCACGATTCGATGAGCCCGACGATTTGTTGGAGCCATGCGCAGCGATGGTCAGCTGATTGGTCTGATGTATGACAGAGGTGATGTCGCTTTGCGATGCGGATATATCCTTGCTGGTGAGCACATCGGAGCTGCTCGAACCGGACGAGATGTGGCGCTCGGCAATGCCGTACTGTATCGGCTGATAGCCGTGACTTGGATTGTACGTGGCCGAGTATGGCATATAGATCGGCGGATTTGGCAGCGGTCCAATATCGCTGGTAATGCTCTCCGTATCGGCATGGCTCAGTGCATGCGCCAGCGGATGCAACTGGGCACGCATGTTGGGATTGCGCTCCTCGTTCACCACATAGTAGCACTGCTCGGAAAAGGTCAGCTTGTTGACCGTGTGCTTAATGTAATTGTTGCGCAGCATCGCGGACACAATGCGACGTGCCTCGCGCCGATCCTGGACATCCTCAACGTTCTCCAGCACCCAATTGACCGCATCGGCTCCAATGAACGCATTTGGTATGGTTATCTTTAGCCACATGCGATCGCGTATCTCGAGGCCGCTGTCCGGCTTTGTCATGGCCTTAACAATCTCCTCCAGATTGTTCTGGTCGAGCCGCTCCTTAATTGGCTCCGGTATGTCTGCCATAATACTGTCGTGCGAGGTGAGCGCCTGTGTGTGCGCCACCCATGCGCCAGGATCAATGGGTCGCACCGGCTCCGTGCGTGGTATGGTAAAATAACCCTTTGGATTTGGATCCCAGCATTTGGCCACCACCAATTTAATGGGGCCCGGCTTCTGCACCACCTCACGCAATACACGCACCGCCTCGTCATTGGTCATGTTCTCAAAATTAACATCGTTCACCTGCAATATCATGTCACCCGGCTCGATGCGTCCATCCAAGGCGACGGCGCCGCCCTTCATGATGCTGCCCACATAAATGCCGCCATCGCCGCCGCGATTTGACTGACCGACAATGGATATGCCCAGAAAATTAACTGCCTCCATATTGATCGAAACGGTTATAATGTTCAGCGACATTGTCGAGTCCGTTATGGAGCTGTACGAGGACGTGCGCGACATGCTGGGCGCACGCTTTTTGCGACGTTGCGGCTTCTTGCGCACCTGCAGCCGTTGCACGCTGCTATAGTCGGTCATATCCCGGTCCAGTGTTAGCTCCGATTCGGTGCCAAAGAGGCTCGTCGAGTCCAGATCGCTGGACAGCACCGAGGCCGATTGATATGTGAGTGGCGGCGGTTGCAGCATTTGCAAAGGTCCCAGCTTATGTTGTTGCTGTAGCTGTTGTTGTTGCTGCTGCTGCTGTTGTTGGTGTTGTTGCTGCTGCTGATGCTGCTGCTGTTGCTGCTGCTGCTGTTGTTGTTGCTGCAGCGCCAAGTGACTACGCACACGCATCTCGCATTCGCTGGGCGGCAGCTCGGAGCAATTATCGGACTGGTTGGTGCCATCGGCGGAGACCAGCCAGGAGACGACGCGTCCATTGAAGCAAGGCAATATTGTGGCATCGTCGGCGATTTCCTCTTTGACCACACCAAAGTCGGCGTCCATTGACTTGAAGAAGTATTTGTAATTGTTGTTCTGTTTGTTGAGCACCATTTTAAAGTCTTTGAGTGTGACCTGAGCGGAGGGTATCAGTATTTTAACCAAATACGGTGTGCTCTCATCGTCAATATGATAAATGACTTTTGTCTCTTGGCTATTTGGTCTCTCTGTATCCATTGTTGATTAATTAAATTCGTTAGAAATTGTATCGAATTGTTCTATTGTATACGTATTCTCAACTATTGTTATATATTTATAGTCTACACTTTTTCGTTACACACACAAATTTTCGGTGTATTTTTTCTTTCCTTTTTTACTTTTTACTTTTTACATGTATGTACTCCTCTCGCTTATGCTTTTTGGGTTGGGTTGTCAATGGAGCCGCAGCAGCTCTCCGCCTCCTTCATTTGTATATGGCGTTAAACTGCTTTTATTGCAGCTCATTAATGCTTTTCAAGCATTTGTATGCGTTTTTTTTTTATTCGTACACTTTGCAATATTGTGTACAATTCTCTTTGGGCGTTTAAATTTATAATTTTGGGGAGACAAAATATATATATATAGGTAAATAATTGACAGCGCTAGACTGATATCGATACACGTATCGAACCAGGGATGCTGCCACGCTTGCCAAACACAAAAGACAAATTACACTTGTGCGATAGTTATCGGTACAACTATGTTGGCAAACATTAAAATGAAAAAAAAAGGATGCACAAGCAAGATGAGGGTTTTTGCAACCGCTTTTATTACATAAGAAATATCCATTTTGTGGGTACACCATGATTTGTGTACGTCCTAAGCTACCTATTAATTCATTCCTCGACCATAAATTGTTATCGATTGGTTCTATCTTTGTTTAGGGAAACAAGTGTGTACATATTGTTTTTTAGCTTAACATTTTTAGTGGCATATATTTACAGCAATAGGCAGTATTTGTGTGGCTGTTAGCATAATGATTTATTTTAAGATCCAATGAAAACCTATTGAATTTTTGATATGTTCTAAGAGTGGACACACTGGCCCATTTAAGTCAATTTTAATTTAAGGTAATTTAAATGAGTAGCAAGTGTCCCAAAACAAACTTCTTTATAGATGTATATCAAATCTTTCTCAGTCTTCAATTTTTGTCTTGCCTGCAAAGCAAAATGAACTAAATCGTTCGTTTGAAATAACAAACAATTTAACGAACTTTGGATATTTTATATATTTTGTTAATTAAGAAAATTGACACAAGCAATATAAACAAACAAATTTTAGTATTTACTAATAACTGATATTCAAATTACTTTCAAATGCAACCTATTGTATACATACATCGCTTTACATAATAATCAAATTAAATCATTTTATTGATTACACCTTTCATTGCTTTACATAGAAATAAAATTAAATATTTTTATTGATTACAGTTTTCTTCGCTTTACATAGAAATAAAATTAATATATTATTATTATTATTATTACACCTGCCATTCGGGTGCACGTTATTTATTGTATAAATCAACTAAACATTATGTTCGTTTGCAAATTAAAAAGTGATATTTTTGTTTTTCAAAACTCTCTTTATGCCTACATATGTATATAATGTAAAATTATTTTAAAATTATAGATTTCACATCGAAAGTCTTCGTCCGAGCGGCATGCGACGATTTGTCCACACTTCCAGTTTGTAAACAATTTGCAATAGCCATATGTAGTATATAAAGTTCCGGGATTTGGACCCATGATTGGGTATAGTGAAGTTTACCTTTAAATCTTTTAGTTTTCTTTTTCTTTTTCTCTTTTTTTTTTTTGTTTTGTTTTTATTACATTAATGTAGATATAACGAACAGCTAAAATAACTATTACGCTAAAGTAACTATTACAACTAATTTAAATCGAATAAAAAAAAAAAATAGATTATAGGTAATCCAAAAAAATATACATATAATATATATATGCATGCGTGCGTGTGTGTGTGTGTGTGAGTGTGTGTGTATGTATGTGTGTCTCTGTGTGTGTAGGTATGTGTGTCTCTGTGTGTGTAGGTATGTATGCAATTTGCTCAAGTGCCCTACTTTACATACATACTTATTAGAGTATGTACCTATGATCCTTACATCCTTACATCCCTACATACCCACCCGGCCAAGCTGCTTACTACTTGGACGTAACCATTTCGACGAGATCGCTGGAGAGGGCCAGCGAGTCAACAATATCAATTAGTATCTCCACATCCTTTACAGAACTAACCACTTCGGGTGCGCCGAGCAAATTGACGTGCTTGCCCTCGATGTTGGCATAAAAGCATTTGTTTTTGAAGATAATGGCACGATCGAAGGGCACACGGCATTTGCTCCGATCGAGCACGGAGCGCCGGAAGAGCACGCATGATGGCTGATATTTGTGCCGCTCCTCTTCGGGTATATTATAGCTTTTTAAATCACCAGTAAATATGGTCATTGTCTGGCGCTGCATGAGCGATGGCGACAGCTTGTAGAGGGTCACCTTGCTCGTCCATTTGGTGGAGGGCACCTTGATGCGTGCGGCAACATTGGCCAGCTTAACCAGCGGCAATTCGAGGCAGGTGCGTTGCTGGCGTGTCTTGCTCGATGGCTCTTTGGGCGTGCTGATCACATGCCAGGTCTCATAGCAGGTGATCTTCTTGACAAGCCGTCCATCCTCCTGACAGTATGTGGTTGTCTCGGGTGGAAAGTACTTGGGCTGTTTGGCCTCCGTTTCGGGCTCAGCTGCTGTCGTGGCTGCATCCTCATCCGTTGCATTCTCCTTGTAGCGACGCTGTGATGGCGTTGATGTAGACGGACTTGCCGGCTTCTTAAACACATCATCGTCGCTGCTCTCGCCCAGCAGCTTGGTTAGCTTACGATCCGGGCCAGTGGTCAGATGTTGTTGTTGTTGTTGTTGTTGTTGCTGCTGCTGCTGATGATGTCTTTGATTATTGCTGGCATTCACCGACGTTGTCGTCGATAGCACATGGCGTCGATTTGGCAACCATTTAGCAGTCTGCACACGACGAACCACGCGCGCCTGATTGGCTGTTGCTGGAGGTGGTGATGCTTGCATGTCATCCTCTGCCAGCTCATTGGATATATCCTCGTCCTCGGTATCGCCGCCATCGGTCATGGGGCACAGCTCCTTGCCCATGCTCATCAGCGGCTTCATCATTGGCTGCGTCTTCTTACCCATCTCGGCATTCAGGATGCGCGGTCGCGGCTTTGCTTGACCCACAGAGACGACCAGCGACGTCTGTTTGTTATGATTGAGCGCCAACGTGTGCTTGCTGGTCGTTCCTGCTGATGCAGTTGTTGTTGCTGTTGCCGTTGTTGTTGCTGCTGCTTTGAGCCGCTTGTTGGTTGAGCCTGTGGTTAAATTATTGCCTGGCGTGCTGCTGTTCCTGCTGCTGCCGATTGCTACTGTGGGGGAGGACGTGGATTGATTTGTGCGCGAGCTGCTGTTGTTGTTGTTGCGCGCTGCGGTCAACAATTTTTTGCCGACGCTATTGCTGTTGGAGGAGCGCGTTATAAGCACATCGTCCTGATTGATTATGTCATCAATGTTAACGATTGTGAACGTGGGCACATCGTCACTCTCTGTTGATTTCATAGATGCTGCCGCTGCACTCACGGTCGTTGCTGCCTTATGCACTTTGAGTGCATTTGTCGAGCTAGGCGGACGACCCACCATGCCCGACCGCGCCACTGGAGCACCGCCAGCGCTGCGTACTGTCGCTGTCGGGGTGCTCAGCTTAAAGTTGGATGCCGGCCGTGGTTTGGCGGCTGTTGTTTGCACCATACGCAGGCCACTGCTGCCGCTGCTTGAGTTGTTGTTGTTACTGCTGCTGCCCACAACGACCTTTGGCTTGGCCTGATTGCTGGCCAGACTCATGGCAGACGCCTTGGCCACAGAAGTGCTGCCATTGATAACTGGCGCCGAGCGGGCAACGCCGCCAACTTCGGTGGCCATGCGCTTGCGTGCTATGGGCGTATCATTGCCATCCTCTAGTTTGCGCTTGTTGCCCACCGTTGGAGTTGCCATCACTTTCATGTGGGATCGCGCCAGATTGGGCGCGATTGTGCGACGCAGCTGCTGCAAATGCGTTACACCGCCGCGTCCGGCTTGGGTGGTGCCCCGGCCGGCTTGGGATGGGGTATTGCTAGAAGCTGTTGCTGCACTGGCCGATTTCGGTGGACGTCCACGTCCGCGCTTTGGTGGCACCTTTTCGCGTCGCAAATGCAGCTCAAAGTCCTGCTCACTGATATCATCATCGTCGTCGGACTTGTGCAGCTGTGGATTAAATGCCGCATCGGCCAGCTCATCGTCGTTATCCTCCTCAATCAGATCGTGCATATCGTCATCCTCGTCATCGTCATTGGCGAATAGGTGCTTAACCGACCGTTTGTTCGTATTCTCGCTGGCCAGGGCAGCCACATACTTGGGCGTTACCATGTCATCGCTGGCGTACTTCGGATTCGGCTTGATGGAGCGACGCGATCGGCTGGCCGCAATCGTTGGCGGCGGCGTGGCCACTGCCGTTGCGGCAACTTTCGACTGTTTGTACATTTTTGTTTTCGGTTCCGTAACGATGTCTCGCGTCGTGTCGCGCCGCTTGCTAAGCGGTGTGCACGTCCCGGCCACGGGCAATATTAGCGCTGTGTTGCGCCGCTTGCTCAATGGTGTTGCCACCGCCTTGACCTGTTGTTTTGTTGTTGTTTTCGCAGCTGCCCTCGGCACTGTCGTTGGTTCGCCTTTGGCGTTGCGAGTGCGTGTTGCAATTGGAGTTGCGCACGGCGCAACGGCGGACTGTTTGTTCTTTGGCAACAGCTCGACGTTTGCAATGGTCGTGGCCCGTCGGGATGTGCGCGTCGCTCGCGGTTGCTCTCGTTCCTGCTCCCGATCTTTAACTATGTGTGTTCGCCTGGTCGGTTGTTTAGCTGCGGCGATGCGCCCTTTTTTTGATGGTTTACCGGATGCTGCCGCGTTGATTATTTCGCTGGCTTCAGATTCCTTTAGATTTTTTACGTATACAATGCACGGTCGAGTCTTTCCTATCTCAGCTTCCGTTTTTTTTCCAGCTCGCATCTTTCAGTAGTCACTGCAATTGATTAAGAATGGTGTAAACTACTTGTAATCGCAAATACAAAAATAAAAACAAAACAAAACCTAAAATATAGCGTAGTGGCAACACGGGCTGTGTTAATTAGAGATGAGCGTCTAATTGCTGCGTGAATGCATTCAAATTAGCTCATCATGTATGCACACACACATACATTTTTCTATTATTTGATTAAAGCTTTAATAATATAAATGTATATATATCAAGATAGATAAAAGTGTAGCGGACATTTATTTTATATATAATTAATATATTTACTATTTTTGTATGTCTGTTTTAACTTCTCGTGCTTATTTCGTGCTGAAATAACGCGTCACGTGCTCATCACTATTCTGATTGCGCGACAACTCTGGCGCCCATTTTGGTCATTTTTGGTGCTCTATTAGCAACTACGCTGATTTTTGCGCGCCAGTTGTATGTACATACGCATACATATATCTAATATTAATATATAACTATGTATGTATGTTTAGCTTGTGGTATATATGTGTTTTTAATTTTAATATTCAATTTTTGATTTCATTATGCGTGTGCGCATTTTACATTCGGGTCGCACTTACATTTAAATGGTTTTACATTTTTCGGTTCTGTCTTTTCATAAACGACTTTGTGATTTCCGTTTCGCACACTTTCACTGCACTACGTTCGATTGCGTTCGACAAGACGTCCCTGTTTGTGAATAATATCAGCAAATTGGCAACGCCATTCATTTTCATTTGCATTGATTTGCAGTTTAATTATTGTGCTTGATCTACGTGATAGCAGCCAGCAATAACATAATGCCACTTTGTTTTGTTTTGTAAAGTTCTGTTGCTCACTTTGCTTGCCTTTGCTTTTGCTGTGGAACTCATAAATTTGTGCGGCGCTGCCAGGCCAGCAATGTTTTTCTACCCAACTGTACCACACATACACGCACAAACAGAGCTGCTACCCCGTGGCTTGCGCCTTGCAACAAATCGTATAGTTTGTTTTTATCTTAGTTTTTGTTTCTGTTCTACACAAATAATTTACAACACATATGCAATTAAAAAATATATTTTACTTGGATCTGCTTTTTGCAATGACAAATTGGATGCAAAACTATGGTAATATCACTTCCCGCGCTCAATATTTTCGATGTCGATTAACCAGAACAGCACAGCACTGCCACTCGCCATGAAATTGTGAAGAGAAATAGAAGTGAAAAGAGGAGAGAGCGAGTGCAAAAATATACGAGAAAAACAGGGCTGCCAACTGGCGCTAAAATGTAGCGCGCTGCTAACTCTGGTTAACAGGTGGGCATGCCCTTGTAGCATGTCCAATATACACACAAATACGTATATACATATCTTTATATGTATATATTCTGTATGTCTGTATGCACGCATATATATATATATGTATATGTATGTATATCATGTGGATTGTTTTGTTCTATTCCTGTGCATATATTTTCGCATTATCGTTTATTATACATATATGTATTTATATTAATTACATTTCGTTTTATGGCTGATCGCACGTTAACATTATTCTACTACTTCAATGCAGATGGCTGTGGGCAGCGGTATTTGGCCATTTCGACCTCTGCCTCAGCAAAACTGAACCGATTGAAACTAAAATATTCGGGAACTTTGTAGCCGCTAGTTGGCGAGGCTCCGGGACCAACTGGTGTCGTTGTGGGCCTCACGCAAGCGCTGCTCAGGCCCGTAACATTGCTAACGGGAGCTGCACTAGGTGCGGTGCCGACTTTGCTGCTGCTGGGTGGGGGCCTTGAAGCACCTGCGCCTTTTTGTGCCTGGCTGTAGCCTCGTCGTAGGAGCTGGTTAAGTGCGGCGCGTGGGGCTGCGTTCATTTTTATGACAAATCCAACACAAATATAACTTCAAACAGAATTCACGTAATCGCACGACTGACCAAATATCAAGTGCAAAATAAAAAAACAACAATAACATATGGTTTGTAAAAGATTGGCAGCCCTAGGCAGGTCGCGGCGTTGCCATTTGTTCCGAAACATCAGTCAACACTTATCTAGCAGGCGCACACGCACAACTAGGTTCGTGTGTAGTATGTTGTTTATAACATTAAACAATCACCCACCCACCAACCCATTGAAAAGCAAATAAGATTTGGTTAAGGCTAGTTTAATTTCGCTTTTTAAATTTAGGCTGCGCTTTGCCATAGTGCTGGCTTATATTGGCAACTGGCGCACGCCGCTTTTGTTTAGTTTTGTTGTTGCACTTGACACTGGCCGCACCAGTTTGATTCTTGCCCAATTGATGGAATTTCTTGCGCTCCTCGCGCGTGTCCTTTAGACGCTGGCGTTCCGCCTTAAGTTCCTTGTAGTTTTTATACGCCTTCTTCGGTGGCTTGGCGCCAAGTTTGATCAGCTGAAATATTTCCATTTTTCGTTTGTTTTTGATGGTCCGCTGATTGGCAATGGCAAAGTTGAGCACTTCTTGGCGTGCTTTTTTGATGTCAAATTCGTTGTCTGCTTCTTTCTTAAACTTGCCGCCGTCTGTGGTTTTGCCTTCTTTTACAGTATCATTTGTTGTTTTCTCTTGTTTGCTTTTTGGAAGTGCAGCTTGCGGTTCTTGAAATACCAGAGCCTTAAATTCCGAGTCATCTTCAGTTTTCTTCAATGCAAGCGCGGCGCGTGTCAATACGGGTTTAAAATCGGTGCTTGCATTCATGCTGGCTAATTAACAATTGTGCACAGACTACAAAAACTTTAAATGAATATTTAAACGCACATACATACATATGCACACATGTGCTAGGCAGCACTAAAATGTACTAATTATGGCCAAACGAACGATAAATCGTGAAACAAGTTGGCAGCTCTTAAACTGCACGCCGCATGTTTTATTTTTGATAGCTGTTTTAAATTTTGTTGGCTGTATTTAATTGTGAATAATACCATTAATATATTGCTGTAGTGCAATGAAACAACCATTAGCTAAAAAGTCACCCCATAAAGAGAATGTGGAAGTGTCTGCCAAACGTGCGAACGTGCCGGCCGAACTACAGCGAAAAGCCAATGCCTTCCTAAATTCCAGTAATGTCGATACAAAAGTGCTGCGGGAAATTGTTTACCTCTTGGTATGTAAATCACATAGTAATACGTTTGCAATATACCTATAAATGTCTATGGTAAATTACAGGAAGAACCTGAATGCAATGCCATTGGAGTAATGCACGTGCTTGAAGTTATCTTTAAGAATCTTCTCAAACGCAAATGCATTTTAGCCGCCGAAAAGCAACAGGATAAGACAAAGATCAAGGGAAAGGCTAACCAGTCCAATGCCAAATGTCAAACACTCTATAATAAAGCGTGGTCCTTCCTGCTAATTAGATTAGGCAGCGCCTCCAAGGAGGAATCTGGCGTTGCGCTCAAAGTATGCATGCAGCTTATATCCAGCGAATCAAAGTATATTTACTCCAATGCCTGGCACAGTGAACGCCTGCGCAGTGTGCTAGAGACGCTGGTCAACTCGGAGACAACGCCACCAACGGCTGTGGCGGCATTCCAGAAATATGCCCGTTGTCTGGACGTGCTACAGATGACATATAAACTCTTGCCGGAACTGGCGCCAAACAGTTTTGCGGACTCACCAAATATTGCACTTAACTATTTGGCTATCATCAATTTGCTTGATTTGGGAAAGATTGTGCTAAATGCCAATGAGTATCACATTGGCCCAGGCACTGAGAAACATCCGCACTTTGAATACAACCAAACACGCAAACATTTGAATGCTGTTTGGAAGGCCATAATTGCATCGTGTAGTGGGGTGGACGAGAAGGTGCATCGACAGGTGCTTGTTGTGCTCTTGGAACGTATACTGCCGCATTTGCAGGATCCCATATTGTTAACAGATTTTCTAATGGATTCACTTCATCAGTTTGGTAAGATAGTAAAAAAAAAACTATAGTGTACGCATAAAAAGTATATGTTTAGAAATAGTATTATTCATTTGACCCGCGCCGCGCTATAAATAATATTTACTAATGTCTTCGATTGTACATATTGAAATTTCCATTATGTTTTTGCAGATGGACCCATTGCCCTGCTCGCTCTCCAAGGTATCTTTACACTGATGCAACAGCAGAATATTACATATCCAGATGTCTACCAGAAGCTCTATAATATGTTCTATCCACGAATGTTCTACAACAAGTACAAAGCTCGCCTCTTTTATCTGGCCGATATATTTTTAACCTCAACACATTTGCCGGAAAATCTGGTGGCCGCTTTTGTTAAGCGTTTGGCGAGACTCGCACTCAAAAGTCCAACAGAGGATGCTATTATAATGATACGGTTCATATGCAATCTACTGCTGCGGCACACAGGCTTGCAGCGTCTCATTTGCGCAACGGGTGCCGAAAGCGGTAAACAATATGAAAATATGTTAAAACGTGCAGGATGTCATTTAAATTATATTGCATTTACAGCTGTGGAGATATCCGATCCCTACGATGAAACGGAACTGGATCCGGTCAAAGCAGGCGCCCTAAAAAGCTCCCTCTGGGAGATGTCATTGCTGCAGAAGCACGCGGTGCCCGAAGTGGCCAATGCTGCACGTTTTGTATCCAAAAGTTTGCCCGTAGTTGAATTTGATCTATCTTCTCTGCTGGAAATGAAGGAATGTGACGTAAGTAACATTTTTAAGATCAGCTCATTTTTATGCCACATATCAATTTTGGCTAATCTTGAGTATTTCAAAAAACACAGAGAGGTTTACAAAACTAAAGGTATAGTCAAAGAATGGGGAATTTTGTTTTGAAAAGCATCAACAAATTTATAGGCAGAGTTCTTATGGCTTGAGAGGTTTGCACTTTTGTCAAAAAGAAGATTTTTGTTATTTTATATATCGACCCATTTTTTATTATGTGAAGCCAGTGCAGGATAAAATAGAGTTTAAAAGAAATTCTGTCTGCAACTGCGAAAAAATTGGTGGCAAAAGCTTTTGCAAAATTGATTGTGGGCCATCCAATCGAGCTGCAACTTGTTTGCAATATCTCTGCTAAATTTTATTTGCGAAAATCCACTCCGCCAGGGTGATATATGGGGAAAAGTTGTCTATTCGACTTAAAGGTTATTTTAGCAACGATTTTGGGAGTTCCAGCCCACCGGAGTGAAATGGATGCAACCTTTTGATTTTCATCAGTTCGACTTCAAACTAATTATTTATGTTAATTATAATTTGAGTGTGGGTTTTTAAAAAAAAATGATAATAGTGAACACAACTGTGCAACAAAATAACAACTATTTAATTTATTAATATATGAAGTGCATAAATAGAATTTTTTTATAGTGCCCAACAAATGTAAACTTTTTCTTAAGCATGCATACTTTAAGCACTAATTTGTAAACTAATTTAAACTCTTTGTCTAACCTGCCAGATATTTGATGATGAGGTGAAAAAGGAAGTGAATCACTTTACGCTGGGCTACGAGCGTCCAACAAATTTTGCTCTGCCACAAAATGATATTGTTACCAAATACTGGGATATAATTTAGAGTAAAACAAAATATATATATTTAAATTAATATAATAAAAATGTATGTGCCTGTTATGTGTATACTTTTAAGCCGGACTGTATTGCTGGCCCAGTTCCGTTTTGCACCAGTTGCCTGGAGAAATGCGCGCAAGATGCCCCAGATGATGCCGCTGCCTCTGTCGCTGCCATTGCTCCCGTGGCAACATGGTACTTACGTGCGCTTTTGCTCTTTTAATTGGAACCACAACTGGATGCTTGCAAGGCTGCGTCGCTAACCCACCCCAGGCTAGCTCTAAGGTTGTCGTAACTGTGCGCATATACGGCACGGCCGTATGAGGGCAAAGTACACGCACTCGGCTATCGAGAGAAAACTGAAGCCCAGAAACAAGCCCATTAAACCACCATCGTTGGCTGTGAATGCAAAAGAAAATGGAGGAAAATTCAATTCTATCTGTGTGTGTGCGTGTTTTTTTTTTTTTGGTTTAGTATACCCTTGCAGAGACTATTCTGATTTTGTTAGGACATTTCTAAAGCTGTAGCTCGACATTTTTAGATGTTTCCATTTGCTGCATGGGGTTTATGGGTCAAAAATTAGATAGTAGTATGAACAATTTATTGGTCTTTTTTTGCGATTTTGTTTGAGATCTCCACTCGTTTATTTTGATATCCCTTCAACAATACCTGACTGCTATATCATATGCATTGCTCTCATTACTCAGTTGAAAATTGACTTCTATTTTCTTCTTTTGTATAATAAACTCTATTTCAAGGCTGCAAATGGGGTTTGAACCAAATCAGTTCGAGCTCGGAACCCATTTTTTTTTTAATATAAGCCGAACCTTAAACCAAACTATATATCCAAAACGATCGCTAAAACGAAACCTGAACCGAATCATATTTATTTTCAAAAACGTGTTGCTTGAAGGTTCTTGGAGGAAGACTCAGCCAAAAAGTAACCCAATTTCGGGTGGAGATTAAATTTAGCCCCAACCTTAAATCGCACTATCGGCGATTCTACTTGGGTTTGAACTGCCTGCAAGGGTATTTCGTTGTCGGCACGCCGAAAAGAACGTACATTTTTCACTCGTTGTCTGGCTACACGCATAAAAAGTCCGATATGCCGATGAATTCGTTCTGTTTGACGGCACGAAATGTATGCTCCTTGTAGTACAAATGGAACACGGCAATGTTGGGCTCCACATAGGCCTGAATAAAGTTGCGCCCAGTGGACTGGACGATTTTAAAGTCATCGTAGGAGATTTTGGTGTAATACGGGATCGCATTGTATGTGAGATCAAAGCAGCTGGGCAGGCAATTGTCCAGACAGGACTCGATGCTAATGCCAATTGTCTCTCCACGCACTGCGGTTCCCTTATGCTGCAGACGGTTTCGTTGCCATTAAGGCGTCGCATATAAAAGACGATGCAGCCGCAGCTTTGCAACAACTGTCGGGATGTGCACTCCATTTCGCCAGACCAGGTGCGAGCAGGACGTCCGTTTCGCGCACATTCGGCGACTCGTTGGGGCTGTGCAGTGCGATCTTGAAGCCAATGCTGCTGTCGGAGGAATAGTGATAGGCATCCGCCTGAACGTCCAGCGTTAGCGACATGTCCAGAGACTCGCCGGTGCCGAGAGATGGGCGCGGATGGTAAACATGATTATGCGGCTATAACCCAGCGCCACGTGCCAATCGATGGCATTGTAGCCCATTGGGGGCCAAACTAATGCATTCAAATGTGCGCAAAGAGGGGATACGGGGCATGTACACAGAAAATTAAATATGCCCGATCTGTGTATACTATACAAGAGTCCACATACCAAATCTGGTGTCTCCAGCTCTTTTAACATCGACATTTATCGATTTCATAGAAACGAAGCGAGTAATCGATGACGTAAAACAAATTTAATCTGATTGGCAATAGGAGTAGCTAGGTTCGAAATTTCAAATCACCAGCTCTTATACTCTCTGAGATCCCTGAGGCTATATGCCTTCGGATTTGGTATATAAACTCTATGTCATCTAGATTAGAATCAACAAACGGATCGATATAGCCACGTCCTTCTAGAGTATCTTAGTTTTAAAGCTATCTTCGTGAAACCTGGCATAGGTCAGTCTGTCTTTTGCAGGCAGCCCAAATGAAGGATCGAACTACTATATCATATAGCTGCCATTGGATAGTCAAAATTGCTCAAAAAATTAAGTTTTAGCTTGAAAAAGGTTTTGTGTTTTTCGTGATGTCCTAGTCAAACCCAGCATTGACTTGTTTCACCATGCTTTCAACATATAATCGCAATCTTATTAACATCGTAGAATCGATCCAAAATCAAGCTTTTTTTTGTTCTTCAAAATATCCTGACCAAACATAGCACTTACTTGTTTCAATTATAAGCAATATCTTATCAACATTAGTCTACTTTATCATAAAGCTCTCTAGGTACAATCCGTCCAAAAATGGGTTTTTGTATGGAAATCATTTATATTTCTCAAGATGTTTGGAAAAGAAACTCAGCTATTACGAGATTCTCTTTATCCGTATCAAATTCAACTACTTTTTCATTTGACTTTCAAAGGAAATGAAAAGTATTTCTAGGCCAAATATCGACAAGGGTATTTAATCTTCGTCATGCCGAAGGCAACCGTTCTTTCTAGTAGTTCTCACTACAAACATTACCTGTCTGCGCTGTGTAGCTTGCGACTGTTGATGTACTTAAGTCCATGTAGGCTAGTGTGCTAGTGCGACAAAATTCATCCGTATTGCGTGCCAGTATGCTGCGGCAGCTAACAACCGATGCGGGCTTCGCCAACGGCTGAAGCTGCGCCAGTCCAATGATGCCGAGTGTGGGCCAATGGCCTCGACGCCTCCAGATGGGCGACACCTGGCGAGGCAGCCGCATGTTGAGCCACTTTGCAACTGGTCGTCAATTTGTAAGTCCTTGTGGCTTCTACTTGTTTGCCATGTTTTATTTATTTTTATTTTTGTTGTCGTTCGTTTATTTTGCTTATCCACTTTCACGCTTGGCTGGTCTGCACATTTGTCGTGCCGATAATAAAAAGTGAACAATAAATATTTTATAATTGAATAAATACAAATTAACATACAGATTAGGAAAAATGATTTAATAACATAATCCAACCTAAAATGGTTTGAAACATTTTAAATATTCGTTTTATGTAGGCAAATATCACAGGAAAGCATTTACAGCGGGCGTGAATTTATGAAAATCGCATAGAAAGGCAATATTTAAAAGGGTGAGAGAATGTCAGTGAGTTAGAGGGATAGAGAAAATAAGAGTAAGAAAGGGAAGAAAGGGAAAGGGAGATGAATGAAGATGAGAATAGAAAAAGATTGTGTAAGTGAAAGAAAGAAGTGATTGGAGAAAATCTGTCTAAGCAAAAGAGTAAAAGAGATTGAGAGTGAGACAGAGAGACAGAGAGAGAGAGCAAGTTTATGTTTTAATTGAAAAAGAGTTTTATAAGAATTACTTTACGAAAGACTAAGAACACTGTCAAAAAGTCATCAGATACACAATTAATACCCTAAAGTACCAAAATGTTAAAGTCTTAGTTGAATTTTTGAAAATCGCATAGAAAGGCTATGTTTTTGTGGGGCAGAGAAGCTAACAGAGATGTATAATTCAATTGGAATATGAGAATCCACATGTCGAATGTGCTGTCTCTAGTCGCTATCAGATTTAGTTGTTCACACTAAAAGACAGACAGACAGACATGACCAAACCGACGTACTGACCAGTCCTTGATATAAATAGAGCTTCATGCAGAGCGTATTCTAAACGAGTACTCGGTTTTTCCCTTATATTTTTTTGCTGTATAACTTTGGGCCAGCTGTAATTAAGATGTGTGTTGGTTCGCTCATTAGAGCGCAACGTGCGGCTGGTCAGAAGCAGAAGCAGCAGCAGCAACAGCTCAAGTTCAATGCAACCAACAAAGCCGAATTGAGTTCCGAACTTAGTGCTATACACACACACACACTTGCACACACACACACACTGAGCAGGGACTTTGGATAGGTAGGAAAACCGCACTTGAACGAAAATCAAATTAAAAGCTTCAATGCCCCAGACACAGACGGGTCGAGTCAGACCACGGCAGGTCAGGTTAAGCGTAGACATGGCTTCTGTAGCCACATGTCACCTGCAAGAACAGTCATATACATACACACACACACACACACACAATTGTGTGTGGCACGCACACGCACTTTGTATGACTTCATTGAAACAAGTTCATAAAACACTTAAACCTAACCGAGCCGACCAAATGCCCCCATGGGGCTGTCAACGTTGCCCGCTGCCAGCTTGTTAGCAGTTTTGCTGCCCGCTGGCCAGTGTGGGGATATCCGCATTCGCCCCCACACTCACACACACACACACACACACATACACCCGCAACCGCTCCTGGCATGCCCCACCGTTTACCTCAGAGTTGAACGCCGGACGTATCACCATCAATGACCATCAAAAAGTTTTCGCCTTTGGCTTTCTGACCAGATATGTAGACTATGCACATGCCCATATATATGCCCTCATGTGTGTACATGTATGTGTGCATGTGTATGTAAAATGAAAGATTTTTTTTTTTGTAGCCAGGCCAAATCGCATCGAGAGGTCACAGCAGATACCAATTGACCTAATCTAAGTGGAGGCGCCATTAGAAATCGTTTTGTTCGGCCAGGATGTCATTTAAGGCGGCAGCCACATACATGCGTGCATACATACGTTCTCCTATGCTCATGCAAGGGTATAGCTCAGTTTAGGCAGTGCATTTATTGATCCACTAATTGTCATTGTGTGTTCGATTTGGTCAGCTTTAGCTGAGATTTCTTCTTCTTCAATTATTTCAAACTGTTTTGGCCCGAAATCATCGCATATTTTATTTACCATGAACTGAATGTAAACTGACGCCTGACACAACTTTAGTCTCAGAGGATTTTTTTTTTCATATTACTGCACGACTTTCTAGCTTTTGTCATAACTTTAAATTTGAACAAATCGCCATTGCAAATGAAATTTCAAAGATATTTGCAGAAACCAAATCTAGTTTCACCAGGTGTGAAAAGCCAGACTTATGAGTCCAGCCTTCAGGCGTGACATTGGCTTAAGCCGTAAACCCAAACTCCAAATTGTAGTTGCAGCCTTGATTCTGATAATTGTTACTTGATCATTGGCATGCCAATGTATGCACTCCAGTTTTTCCCAGTAACATGAGCAAGGATCTTAAGAAACTTTCACCTACGAGCGTGAAAAACGGGTGAAAACTGTGATTGTAAGGTTTCTATTCATTCTTGTGCCACATAAGTTTATAGATGCTGTCTACTATTATTATTTTTAATATTATTTAGAGCTTGTGCTTATTTTTAGACTTAAAATTGTACAGCTGCCGTAAAATTCACGGCCCAGAAAAACATTTCTGAATTCAAGCAAAGGAATATAAAAAAATCAGCGGCAATTGAAAAAAAAACATAACTTACCAGTCACATACATATGTACATGCATACACTTATACATGCATGCACATAAGCACATTCTTATGCAGCACACACACACACACACACTCGCACACACACATACAAGCACACACTGGCAGTGGCACCGGCTGTTTGTATGTATAAAAAATCTGAAAATGATAGAAAAATGATTAATTGCAGTTGGCAGTAGTTCAGCAGTCAGTTGCGCCGCTGCCGCTGCTGCCGCTGCTGCTGCTGCAGTAAACCTCAGCGAGCTCTTAGCTAGCGAGGAGGCCACACAATGCTAGCATGCGCGTGTGTGTGTGTGTATTGGCATTCATGGCTCATAGGTGTATGTATGTATATATGTGTGTGTGTGTGTGTGTGTGTTGGTGTCTGTGTGTGTAGTACATTTTTTGTGGCAGCCTTTTCGTAGCACAACAGCAGCTGACTGCAGCGATATTAATGATAGATATGCGTTCGCTTCAATGCGTCACCCGCTCCCCGCTGCCCCACACTTGTCCCGAATTATACGATAATATTTATGTGTATGCTCCAAATAGGTGGAGTAGCATGTGGAGAAGCCGGTCGAGAGATGGATCGACTGGAAGTGGCGAAAGGGCGCGTTAGCTTTAAATAATTGTTGCACAATTTATTTTGTTGTAAACTGAATGATAACAAAATGTTTGCATTTAATGCATAATACTTGAACTATTTGTTGGCTGAGTTGATTGAAGCTCGCCTTTGCATATTCCCGTCAAAGTGCATGTTAGTTAACAAGAAGCTAAACTCATTTCAAAATACGTGTGCTAAATATACAAATATCGTATTAACTTATCGATTTAACAGGCAGATATGCAAAATAACAGTAACATACGAAAATGTATCAAAAGTTATAGTTAATTTTGAAAGAAACAGAAAAATGATCTACAGTAAGCTCTTTACAGGCAGATGGGTAATACATATTAGAGCATTAGAGAGTTGGCTTAACTAACTCAATTTCTATTCTTTTGTGCTGAGATCTGAAAGTTAAAAAAGCGAAGAGTTCTCCTTGGAGTGCCTGAAAATGATATATTTACAATGTGCGCATCATTTCTATACTTTTCAATGTTTTCATACATATTTGATTGTAATATCTCAGGGCATTTATGATATGATTAGAAGATAAGAAGATATGTTGGTTCGACATTGGAGACGAGTCAACATACATAGGTAAACAGACAGACGAAGACGACCATGTTTACTCGACTGTTGATACTGATCGGTAATAAATAAATATATAATAAATATATATATATATATACAATAAATATGGACAGTATAAAATAGTGGAACTCCAAGGAACTCTAATATATATAAAGTAATTTGGGTAAATTGATAAGAACAGTTTGTTGCCCTCGAAAGTCTGTTGCGGCGCACTCCGACGCCATAAACAAATATATGTATGTGTATGCCACTCGATGAGCAACAAAAGCCTTTCTCTACTAATTCCCATTTATTCATTTAGTTTAGTTGCATCACTCATTTCGACAAGAATTCCCGCCCGCACACATACCCACCCACACACACACACACACACATCAATAAAAGAGGAATATAGAGAAAAGGAGTGTATGTGTGTGTGTGTGTTTGTGTGTGTGTGTGGTGAGTGCAGTCCTGTCCATGCTCGAGTCGCCTTTTATTTATCAGCGCTGGAGCAGAGAGCAGCCCCAGATGAATGTCTCGCCTCGTCTGCCCACAGTTGTCCCACCTTATCCGGGCTGCTGACGAAATGGCTCTGAAATGGCTGTTACGCCACTGACAAAATGTTACTGCAAATATGCCAAAAAAGGTCATACGACTATCAAAAATGAAACAAAAACCAAAAATGACAGCTACCCTATAAACCTCTCCTCTGTGACTAGCTCTGCCCGGTTTGTGTAAAGCCACGACGAGTCGAGTTCCCATGGGTTTTTGTCTGCTCGGATAAACGAAAGCTGGGGGTGTTCGTGGTGTGCTGGGTTTGGGGCTGGAGTTGGCGGATGTTGGTCCAGGACTGGGCAGCAGTTGCTCCTGATGATGAAAGGGGTTTACAACTATTTTCAAACTATGTATTTAGCGCGCATTATATGACCTCGTCTCCCACTCCGCACGTTCTTTCAATCTCTGTCTCTTTCTCTCTCTCTCTTCCGCCTGTCATTGCTTTTGCACTCGAAGAAATCGCTGAGCTTGATGATTCTGGGCAGCTTTGGCTTCTGTGAAGAAGCCGAAAGTAAATCCCAAATATTTGTCGGCAAATTTGAGAAGTTCTTTCTGTAATATGTTTGATCTTCAGCAACGTTGCATTTTTGAGTTGGCTGCGCCTAACAGTTTTTTAACGATATATATTTTTTGCACAGTGTAGTTTGCATTTTGCCTTCGTCACATGCTATTTATACGTTGGCTGTTTTT